AAGACCAGCCCATGTGAAAAGAGCAGCTCTCTTAAATTATACTCAGGCAAGTCTGAAATGATGGTGGCTACATTTGCCAAGAAGTGTTACAAGGAAGATTGGGAGGCATCTTGGGACTTTAAATACTGTAGCTGATCATCCAAGGGATACAGAGCAGGGCTGTGGAGAGACTTACCGGGCCCCTTAGCAAGGCAGGAGAGAGTCTGACTCTGTGACCCCAGAAGGAAATAGTCCCTGGCCTAGTCCCCTCCAGCCAGATCTTCTACATTGCTGGATAGTGCCAAAGGGCCCAGGGCTCCAGCACAGCCATTTGTGGCAGCCAGGAGTCCCCTTTGCCTCTCCCTCACACCTCCCCCTCCATTGAGATGCAGAGTAATATAGGTAAAAATGTCTGAAAACCAATCAAGGCCACAAGACCAGCCTCTATGCCAGAGCCACTCACCTTTAGAAGCCCCAGTGGCCAACACATAAGTGTGCTTGCACATACATGCAAATATATGCAAATAGCTTCTTTTGCACTGACTGGCACAAATACAAATATTAAGGCAAGAGTACACAACACACAGGCCCCATTTAAGTCAATTCTACTGATATTAATAAAATGCAATATTTACCCAATTTCCACCCATATGACAGCACTTATAATAAGCAATGACAGTTCAGGAATTTAACTACTAAAATGCATCTCAACAGAAGACCATTATATGGGCGGATAAAGAAAAGTTATTTATTAGTTCCCATAATAGAAGAACTAGGGGACAACAAATGAAATTAATGGGTAGCAGGTTTAAAACTAATAAAAGAAAGTTCTTCCACACAGCATGTAGTCAACCTGTGGAACTCCTTGCCAGAGGAGGCTGTGAAGGGAGGACTATAATAGAGTTTAAAGAGAAGCTAGATAATTTCATGGAGGGTAGGTCCATAAAAGGCTATTAGCCAGGGGATAGAAATGGTGTCCCTGGCCTCTGTTTGTCAGAGGCTGGAGAGGGATGTCAGGAGACAAATCACTGGATCATTGTCTTTGGTCCACTATCTCTGGGGAACCTGTTGCTGGCCACTGTCGGCAGACAGGCTACTGGGCTAGATGGACCTTTGGTCTGACCCAGTACGGCCGTTATGTTATTATTGATTCGCCGTTGTGGAGCGTGTTCCTAGTAGAGGCCATGTTCAAAGGATCCCACCTGCGGGCTGTGTGTTGAGTCCCGCCTAAACCCAAACCACACCACGGACCGCAAATGGGCTGCGGGCCATGTGTTGAGTAGCTCTGGACTAGTCTGAAGTCTGACAGAGAGGTCAGAGACAGACGTTAGGTTGTCCCTACATTTCTCCATGATTTTTCTTTGGGAAGAGAGCTTAGGGCCAGGGTGGTAGTTGAAGACATTGTCTAAACTACAGCACATGTGTGTTATCATATTTGATTGTAGTTTTCAAGAAAGTTGCCAAGTTTCTTCTTCTGAAAAAGACAGTGCTTCTCATTTCAAATGAAAAACATGACAGTCTCAAACATGAAAGGCTAAAATCTGGTTTGAAGAAGCTAAGCCCAAAGGAAGAGAAGAAGGTACAGTGATGATTCTAGAAGCAAAATGTTTCCTTAAAAAAATTATGCATAAAGATGACAAAATGAGTAACCATAACAATAAAAAAGAATAAACTAATTGAAAAAAGGTATAGTTTCAAATCTGACCAGGATGTAGCTGAAGTTTTACTACTGTATTTATAGACGAAGTAAAACCACAACACACAGATAGAAGAATTTCAGCTGAAATTACAGCCACCTCATGAGACACCATGTTGTGCCACAAGACGGTGTTCAAAGCTGCTGTCGGTAACAGAGTAAAGTCTAGGGTCTGAATCAAATTCATTTTAGACTGCTACTGCTCCTTAATTCTCTCAGGAATAATTTAATGACAGACTGATTGGCTGTTGGTTGCTAGTGATTTGTTACACAATGATATTAGCTGTTTGAATCACAATTAAAGTAGTATCTGAAATGTGTCAGACAGTGACTCTTTCAATGTAGTACTCATGGGGCAGACATTTGACTGACAACA